AATAAATTATCAAGCCTTTTAAATAGAAATCAGCTGTTCTTTTGAGACCTCCCATTAGAGGTGAGGTGTAGCAGATGGAAGCAGCGTTAAGGGATTACAGTAACTCCTTTAACAGTCTGCAGTCAGTCAATCACGTTTGGCATCCGATTATACTGCTACGTCCTCCTCGTTTGGGAAGGAGGGAGGAAGGCGAGGAGCGGAGCTCTGTGCAGCTGACAGCTCCTCCATCTAACCCTGAGTCACATGAGCTCTGTGGGACTGCTGCAGCTGAGCGGATACTTGCCTGGACTGACTGCATTGCAAAAACTGTGACTCAGGGAGGTGTTGTGGATGCAGGAGGGGGGACGGAGCTCTGTAGGGACACGACTTAGTCATCCATCCAGGTGGCCATGCTGATTACATGGTGGTATTTATACCTTGCAGCTCGGAGCTTCATCGGACAATGCAAGTATTGCTGGTGTTTTTGTGTCTGGCCATATGTCATTTCAAGGTGAACTCTCTGCAAATAGAGAACGCGTGAGACAGGACCTAATACGTTTCTGTCTGAGAGCAGATTGCCATCTTCATACCTGCTAGAAAGGGAAATAATGCACTCTCTAGTTTGCTGTAAATGATCGAAGTGTCTTCTATGCCACTGTATGTCAGGCTTGCGTTAGAAATCCCTCTGCACTCTGACTTATTTATGAGTTGTGTGCATGCGAGGCTGCACGCAGGACCATTGGCTACTGTCGTGTCTATGTAAAATGCTTTGCTGCTTCACCTGACCCTAAACACTCATCCCTTTCATCTTTCATTTACACTTCTCAGCACTGAAAATGGCTTCAGTCCTGCAGAAACTGATCACACCGCTGTTCAGTGGTCCACCTGAGCCTCCGAGGAATAAAGTTACAGTGGTGGGTGTGGGCCAGGTTGGCATGGCCTGTGCTCTCAGCATCCTACTCAGGGTAAGAGTCTCACTGGTTCTGCCTCTCAGATTACCACGCTACCTGCTGGTGTCACGGGTAGCGTGATGGGATCATACTCAGGCTCTTCCAAGATTGCCACGAGATTACTGATCTCTTGGTGTCTGATCTGACCGTTATCCCTTTACTGCACTTGTTAACGAGGAAACATGTATTTGTAATCAAAAAGGAAGAATTACAGTGTATGTATCCTAAAGCTGTTCAGGTTTTATTTTCATTCACTTAAATTAGATAACCCGTTTCACCGTTAGACTGAATCATACATCATAAAACAATTATTTAAGCCATTAGGCTTAAAACAGACTAGCTTGAAGCTCTCTATTACGTTCTTTTTTCAACTAGTTCTAATGGCAACAAACAAACTGTACTATAGATCGGTTTGACCTTGTCTGATATGTGCAGGAGCTGGCTGATGAGCTGGCGCTGGTGGATGTGGTGGAGGATAAGCTGAAAGGAGAGATGATGGACCTGCAGCATGGCAGCCTCTTCCTCAAAACCCCCAAAATAGTTGCAGATAAAGGCGAGTTCATATCGCAGACAAACACACACACACGTACACACATACACATGCAAACACACAGGAGCTCAATCTCATAAAGCAGCCTTAGTTTTAATTAAAACTCTTTAAAAAAGTATTTACAGGATGCAGCTCACTATGGAGCTGTTTAAATTTAATTTCCCACCTTTGCAAAGGTTTGAAGGAGAATGTGAACCCAAACTGATCTGTTTTTTAAAATTTGTATTTCAGACTATTCGGTTACAGCTAACTCCCGCATCGTCGTGGTGACCGCTGGAGTCCGTCAGCAGGAGGGGGAGAGCAGGCTGAACCTCGTTCAGAGAAACGTCAACATCTTTAAGCACATCGTCCCCCAGATTGTCAGATACAGCCCTGACTGCATCATCATTGTTGTTTCCAATCCAGGTTCAGACAACCACACAGCTCTTCTTTATTTACGTCCTCAGACATGAAATCTTGCAGTATTCACCTTTTAACACTATAAATCTCTCTCTCTCTCTCTCTGACAGTCGATATACTGACTTATGTGACCTGGAAACTGAGCGGGCTTCCAAAGCACCGTGTCATCGGCAGCGGCACCAACTTGGACTCGGCACGCTTCCGTTTCCTGATGGCTGACAAACTGGGAATCCACCCGAGCAGCTTCAACGGATGGATCCTGGGAGAGCATGGAGACACAAGTGGTGAGGATACTGTAGGCAATAACTGTGTATGGTGTGCACGTGTGTGTACGTGCATGAAGGTTGATGGTTTCCAGATGTGTTACAGTGCCTGTGTGGAGTGGAACAAACGTGGCTGGAGTCAGCCTGCAGACGTTAAACCCTGATATCGGCACTGACAGCGACGACGAGAACTGGAAAGAGACTCACAAGAAGGTGGTGGACAGGTAGGCTGGAGGTCGCTTAAATCTAGTTTATGGATACAGTATTTTAAAGTATGATCTTTTTAAACTCACCTGCTAGTGGTGAGCCGATATCTCTATTCACTGATGGGCAAGTTGATAACACAGTCACAGTCAATGCTGGACATGTGCACTGTCAGCAAAGAGCTGCACCTTATTGGTCAGAAACCCTGACATGGGTCAGATTTCAAACTAAGGCCAACATGGAAGCTCATCTGCAAACTTTCTCTTCAATTCTGAAATCTTTTAGGCTAAAAGTCTCTCTTTCTTTCATGCTGGATCAACATCAGCTAGTTTAAAATATTGTGCAGATGAGTGTAGATCTCATCTTTACCGAGTCAACACCACGTCACAATACAATGGCTGACTGTTTAGACACGACACAGACGTATCACCTATCGCTACCTTAGCTGTTACCTGTCACTGTCTTAATCAATCTCTGTGAATTTTCATGATTTTAGACACTTTAGACATGTTTTTGTTTGTTTGTTTGTTTGTTTGTTTTACATCTCTTAGTGCCTACGAGGTGATCAAACTGAAAGGCTACACCAACTGGGCCATCGGTCTCAGCGTAGCCGACCTGACAGAGAGTCTCATGAGGAACATGAACAGGATTCATCCCGTCTCCACCATGGTGGAGGTAACAGACGCTCATGTTCATGTACTCGTTAAAGAATTTCCCAGTATTCTTTAAAATATAACTATAACTAGAATTTTGAATCCAAAATGTATAAAGTGTGAGTGTAATTACCAGTTGTGTTAAATAAAGCTCTTTTTTTCCAAGCCACTTTTCTGATAGTAAGAGTGAAACACTAAGCCAAAACAGAATCATCAGATGTAATCCTCTGTTTGGATAATCATTATATATTCCAAAAGGCAAGTTTCAAGGAAAAACGCAGAACATTTGCAGGTTCAGTCGACACGTTCTCTAGACTTGAAGCCCGGCTACCTCAGTCACTAGAGCAAGGGTGGGGAACTCCAGGCCTCAAGGGCCTGTGTCCTGCAGGTTTTAGATATCACCCTGGGTCAACACACATGAATCATTACTAGGCCTCATTACCAGACATGTTGAGTAGGTAATTTAACCATTTAAATCAGCTGTGTTGGATCACGGACACATCTAAAACATGCAGGACACCGGTCCTTGAGGCCCGGAGTTCCCCACCCCTGCGCTAGAGCATAAGACTGTTGATCTCAGGGTCGTGGGCTCAAGCTCCACGTTGGGTGTTCAGATTTCAACTCCACCCCCTTTGAGCTTGTGTGAGTACATATGTACTATATTTCATGATGTGTAGATGTACTAGATCAGTGGTGTCGAACTGCAGGCCTTGAGGGCTGGTTTTAGATGTGTCCTTGAGCCAGCACAGCTGATTTAAATGCCAAATGACCTACTCAACATGTGTTGAAGTTCTCCAGAGACCTGGTAATGAACTAATCATGTGATTCAGGTGTGTTGACCCAGGGTGATATCTAAAACCTGCAGGACACCAGCCCTCGAGGCCTGGAGTTCGACACCCCTGTTCTATACACACAGTAATGTCATATTTTAATATTTAAAAAACAATAGATCAAGAGTTCTTAAATTGCTTTCCCTATAGTGCCCCCACAGTGTGCTTTGTCATCAACAGGGCATGTACGGGATCAGTGACGAGGTCTATCTGAGTCTGCCCTGCGTGCTGAACAGCGGGGGCGTGGCTAGCGTGATCAACATGACCCTGACAGATGAAGAGGTGGCCCAGCTGCAGGCCAGCGCTAACACACTCTGGGACATCCAGAAGGACTTGCAGGACATCTAACCTGCCGGCAGGGGGAGCCAATAGCTACACCTTCCTGACTACTCATGACCTTCAGCATCACTCCACGGTCACACCAGAAAGCTTTGCCCCTCTGCACCTTCAGCCTACTGCACTATGTAGATTCCCAGATGTTTGGAGGGGTTTCATCCAGCCAGATTTAGCCATAGGGGTCAGTTTGTGCACTTCTGCTCGCTGGAGACCAAAACGTGACCCCAATGATGAGTGAGATGCTCTGACTCATTTGTCCTTTGCTGTGTTGCACTGTGGGACCACGTGTCATGTTGCTTTGGCAACTAATAAAAGAAGCAGGGGCTTATAAAGGAATAAGTGCAGAGTTTCAGTTCTTCAGTGTTGGCTATTTATGTAGCGTGATAGAAATCTGTGAACATGGGCTTTCTCTTTTGCTGAAAGTGAAGAGCAGAGTGTTACATGTGGCCTATGATTTAAAAACATGGTTCAATAAAATAAATCCTAAAACCCTGCTGGAAGCTCATGGTGATTTTACTGGAATGTATTAGTCGATGAACTCTGTCTGATCCCAATCGCCTACCTCCGACACGGCTCTCTCAGTGACCGCTGTGAAGACGGCACGATGATGAGTGACTGATAGTTTGTCATCCTGGTGTTAATCACTTCATGGTGTGAATGAGTGACTGGCGTAATTGTTTTAATAAGTTGACAAGGATAAGTGTAAATGGAAATCCATCCATGCGTCACACCAACAAACTGCACATGATGACAGTCAAATGAAGAGATAAACTCACACATAAATCAGACTCTAACATCTTGCAGATGGCATTTTCATTTATTTTGCGCATTTTATTATAAGTTAAGTCAAATTTGCGACACGCAGACAAACATCAACAATAACAATAAAATGTAACAAGCAACATAAGAAACAGAAAAACATAGAAGTGGGCTCTGATGAATGTTCACAAGTGGGTACTATTCACCTCCTGATAGTCCAGGTGATTATCTGGATTGCCTGCATCTGAGGATTTAAAAAAAGAGCCATAAATAATCATAAAGCTGTTCAGGAGGGTCTGGTAAGTCAGGGTGTTGGTGGTGATGAATTCCAAGGTTTTACCTTCTTCTACAGCTCGCTGTAGGCGTTCCAGTAAAATGGATAAAAGCAAAGAAGAGCCTCGGCCAGCGCTGTTCTGCTTGTGAGTCCCTGCAGAGAATCAGAGCAGAAATGGCAGTATTTGGAAAAGAAACAAAAAAACTGTGCAACCAACACGTCCAAGGGAGAAAGAAAATACAAATATAGCTGTGATGAGGAGACTAAGATTTCCTCTTTTTTTTCCTTCCCTATTAAACCCTCGGAAATAAACACCCGGGATCAGGCTGATAAAATCACATATGTGGCACTTCACCCTCTTAGCGCCTCGTGTATCATATTTAACACATACAGTTTTTGAGACTTCTACATCATCAGTGGGGATTGTCTAAAATCAAAATAAATTCCACAATACACTCTGTTTTTGGAAAAATTGAATTTTCTGGTAATTATTTCATTGTTCAGGCTTTAAAGAGTTAAAACAATGAACACAAAATTAATAAGTAAACATAACAAAATGTAATATTTATTGTGATTTATAACTCTGGTAATAAGCCATCACTTCAAACATGATAGTAAAATAATTTATGCATGGAGTTTTTACTCTGATGGAAATAAAATACCTGCAAACTAAAAAATTTAACAAACTCTTAAAACTGCCTAGGATTAAAAAAAAAAAAGAAGAAGAAGCAGCTCTCATTAATGACTGATTTCTGAAACATTAGTAAATGTTTCAGAAAATGTAACCAGTTCAAAATCACAATATCAGCCTTATTTCTAGAGTACATTTAAAACCAACAAGCTCGACCATAGTGCTTTACAAGTTAGTGTAAAACAAACAAGATCAATCAAATGAATAAAATCAAGTAAATCATTAAAAAACTAACAAATACAATAAATGTGAGTAAAAACAAACTAAAACAAAAAGTTACCACAATATTAAGTACAAACTTATTCCAAAGGATGATTTATTACAAATGAATACAGGCTCCTTAGAGCCAAATACAATACCAGTCATCTTACATAGAATATTTACTTGTTTATCTGATTACACTACTCAAGCTGTATCATGTATTCACACACCTGAGTGAAAAGTGCTTTCTTCCTCTCTTCTGGCACGCTCCAAAAATGAGCGGCGTCCCTCTGTAAAAGATCAGCACACAATATTGTTTTGATCGGATAGACGTCTAAAATCTGGGTGACTGTTTGATGCCGTCAGTGCGTTCTTACGTGCTCCTTTCAGGTATAGGATCGCCTGAGAAGTCCAGTTTCTCCTCTGAAAAGGGAAAAGAAAATTCTGTTCCAGCTCAGGCTGATCAGGGTTAAACGTGACAAAAGAAAAATACCGACTAACCTGTGGAGCAGTCCAACACTGAGAAACCAGTGACAGCAAAAGCAGCGTGACTAGTAGAGACATTGTTGAACTCTGCAACAGAGCAAGAGGGGAAAAAATAAACTGCATCTTTTTCTGAGAAGTGTACGTTTAATTACAGTCATCCAGCACAGATCTATTTCTCTGTGTTTAGATGTAAACTCATTGTAAACAAATTTTAAAGCACCTCATCGGCATCTAGATGCCAGTAACTTACAGTAAAATGTTTGCAGTAACTTTACAGTAAATTACACTTTCTGTCATTTTTATTACAGTAAATTTACTTTAAATGAAATTATAGCCACTACCTTCAAGTAAATTTACAGTTGGACACCAGCAAGTTGTGGTTTGTGTACATTATACAGTTAAACTGTATTTATAATAACAGTATTTGTAGCATATTTTCATTAATAGTTTTATTTTACTTTAATTTATAGCATTCTGACTTTATGTTACATGTTACTAATGTAACACACTATAATAAATCTCTGTAAGCAGGTTTAAGCAATTGCCCGTGTATTTTTAGCAAGTGAACTTCTCCTGTACACACAATTGTGAGCTGTTGTATTATACTAATACCTCACTATACTAACTAATACTGAATGACAATGTTTTCTGTCTGTGCTTTATTAGCTTTATGATTTATTGTGCTGCATTGTGTTATAAACTGATTTTATTTTGCTCATAAATAGTAAAAGGTAGACTTAGAAAGTAAAAGTTTAATTTACTTAATTTTTTCACATTTAAGGAAATTAAAATATTATATATAAATAAGAAGAGGGATATCTTACCTTTCACTTTAAGCGTTGTGCTCTCCTGCAGGTTGCAGCTGGTTTAAATGTTTAATGTTTCCCTGTCAGTGCAGTCACATCGTTTGTAAGAAAAAAACCAACTGATGACGCTGACAGGTGTCTTAATCACTTCACACCTACTTCTTCAGCTGACGGTGCTGTTAAAGATGTCGCCGCACATTAATCGCAGATGCATGAGAGACACTCAAACTTTTAAGTCTTGCGAGCAGCAGAGTATTTTCACAGGGTCACTGCAGGACGACAACGCCGGTGAGATTTTATGAATGAAGTTGATGCGGTGATGAGGTGGCAGGTGCAGATGCCTACGGGAGGCCTGAGGCTGAGAATAAGACAATGCTAGTCCTTCAAGGGCCCTGTGTAATCTGTAAATCTATTTTATTGCCTACAACTGATTTGTCCATATCCATGACTTCAGTAGGTCTTCTCCCAAATTGCGGTCATCATAGTGAGGAGCACTACTTGCTCATAGGGGGCGGAGTCATATGATTGTTCAAGTGTCTTGCTAATATTGCAGGGCCTTTGTCTCTGAAAATATAAAGCCTTGGGGCGACTGTTGTTTTGAACTGCAGCTATGTAATAAAACTAAAGTGAATGGTGGTCTTTGCTAAAATAAGACCAGCACTGTACTAATGTGAACTATGGATGAACTTAAGTCTTACCGTGGCTTAAGTGCATTGGTCCTTCAGCCAGGTGAGCTAAAAATATACACATACTAATACATTTTAACCTCTCAAACATTTTCTAAGAGACATTTAGGCCTTTACTATCACAACATTCACTGGCAATTAATGTGTTTATTTCAAAGGCAAATATAAGTGTAGTTAAATTAAATGTGTTTGTTCTACCAAGGGCTCTAGCAAAAATATTTAAGTAACCCATCATTAGTTTTTCTTCCACTTTTATTATGAATGCAGTGCATTTGCTTGAAGATGATGGATTTGTATCAAAGTTTGAGAATGTGGGTTTGACATGAGGAGCAGAAGCCTGGATCAGCTGAAAGCATGAAGGACACTGGATGACATGAGGACCTTGAATTTATTTGTTATTTTTGTTTCAACTGTTTTAGAAATTTCACACATACATAAATCTCTGTGTTTATGACCTGTACACACTGTGTATAAACAGTTAATT